TACAAACTCTTTAGGCTTGCATAGTACCTCCAAGCAATGGTGTGAGTAGCTGCCGGATGTAGTTCTGGGTCCAGGCACCCTAGAAAAGGGTGGGTACGGCCTAAGCAGGCCTGGGTGGGAATTTGGGGTTTAGGGCTTAGGGCTTAGGGTTTAGGGTTTAGGGTTTGGGGTTTGGGGTTTAGGGTTAAGGGTTTACGATTTAGAGTGTTTGGGGTTTAGGATTTAGGGTTCGGGATTTGAAGTTCAGGATTTGGGGCTGTGGTTTTAGGGTCTAGGAGGGGTCTGAAGGTTTAGGGGCCACTGCTGGAAGTGTTTTGCATACAAAGACCTTGACCAGTGCGGAATATGATGCATGCTTTTTTCGATCTATCTTAGGTCAATCCCCCCTATAGTAATGGCTCCTTAATATGGAGTTAATAGGACCTTAATATACCTACAATAGTCCCTTGTGGTACCCATTACTGGGTGGGGGATTGACCCAAGATCTATCATAATAAAGGCCAAAGGCCAACGAGGAGTATCCCAGACCCCCAAAGGGATCTAAGAATTAGATCCCCTAGAACCATAGAGGGAATTATATAAGGATTATATAGGGCTTATAATGGGTCTATATAGGGGATCTAATTTTTAGATCCTCCCAGGGGTCTGGGATGAAATTATTCCGACGAACCATCTCGGAGCCATGGGACTTGTAGGCATACGTAAGGATACATGGGTGGTTATCAAAATTATTGTCCCTTTTTGGGTACCCTAAATATTAGGGGCCGTATTATAATAGGGACCCAAAAAGGGACCATAATTTTGATAACCACCCACATCGGGATGCATAAGGTTTAGGTTTTAGGGTTTAGGATGCGGATATATAGATGCATTACATATCTACACATGCTGCAGACACATAGTGATACAGCTGTGAATCATAGGGTGAAGCGGTTCCTCTGGAAAGGACAGCTTAAATTGACGGTGTGCTGGGTACTGCTATCCCTAGACCCTAAACCCCCGGACCCCAAAACCCTTCAACCCTAAACCCCTCAACCCCTCACTAAACCCTAAACCCTAAACCCTAGAAACACCGAACCTCGACCTTGTCACCGGATCCCCCGCTGGAGGCCTGGACATTCCTCAAAGAGGGCCTCAAGCCAAGCCCCAAGTGATAGCATTCGATTTAGGGTCCAAGGGATTTTGTTGGGTAAGGGATTTAGGGTTCATGGTTTACGGGCTTAGGGTTTTTGCGGGGTTAGTCCCTGGTATATCTAATTCTCGTTTTGGGTACAGTACTCGATAAGAGGAATCTCGTCTTATTTGGCCCAACCAGCCAAAGCGCCCCCACAGGAGAGTTGGCCAGGGAATATATTAGGGTTTAGGCTTTAGGGTTTAGGGCCCCGCTACCTAGGGATCAGGCTCAATCAGATCATATGAGTAGTATTTTACTTGGGGATTCTATGATACCCAATATAGAGTAAGATTATATCCTCCTTTTGGGGTATAGTATTTTATATAAGGAATATAATCCTACTAGGTTCAACCACCAAAAAACACTACTCACATTAAGAGTTGGAGGGGTGTCCTTCGGGTTGGGTGGGTTATTTACGGGGGGTTCGTACCTATTCCCAGGTGTCATGGTCGCCCTTCTTGACGAAGAAGATGTCATCTGCTTACCTGGGAACTCCCTTTTGGGATTTAGGGTGTAGGGTTTAGGGTTTCTGACACATTTGAGAGCTTAAGCAGAATTCCCCTACATCTCCAAAAGCGATTCTTACAATCGCCTTGCCATCCCCACGTACTCCTTGCCCCAATTTTGGGAGTCCCCGAAGTCTAAATTCCAAGTCCCAAACCCACAGTCCTAAACCAAAAGCCTTAAAATCTTCAACCCTCAATCTTGAGCCCTGAACCCTACACCCTACCCTAAAGCCTAAATTTGGAACATCCAATCCCAAATTCCAAGCTCTAAATCTTAAGCCCCAAATACTTACCCCCCAAAAGGCTAAATCCTAAAGCCTACTCTCCATTGCGGAAGCTGTTCATCTAAGTGGGAATAAACCCTAAACCCTACACCCTTTGGTTTTCGTGGCAGCCTGGTTTTCTTGCCGAGGTTCCGAGTAGGACGTCTCTATGAGACCTTCTGGAACTCACAGCCCAGAGCTTGGATTAGAGTTAAGGGTTTAGGGCTTGGGGTTTAAGGCTTTCGCTAGGAAGGGCTTAGGGATTAGGAAGTAGTGTCTAAGGTTCACGGCTTAGGGTTCGGGGATTGAGGTTTTTTCGGCTTATGGAGGCTTATAATCATAGAGGTTTTTCAGGGTCGTATAGGGTTATGACGTAGGGGTTAAAGCTTTCTTACTGGGGTGCTTGAGGGGGAGTGGAAAACTGGAGACTACGATGTTATTTGAGGCTAAACCCTAAACCCTCAAACCATGTGGCTTACTGGTTGTGACAGGGGAGCGATGGAGTGGGGGACTGGGTGGGAGAACCGGGAGGACAAGAACCTGCAAGAATGTAACGGGAGCAGGGAATAAAACCCTAAGCCCTGAAGCCAAACCTAGTCCCCCCCCCACACCACTGAATTGTAGAGTCTTCCTGGGGGTTAAGGTTTAGGGTTTAGGGTTTAGATTGAACCCTGCAGTAGTCCCGCTATACTAATTTCCGTCAATGGTCTCTACCACCCATTTCTTCCTTCCCTACTGCATCATGGGGGGACCTATGAGCAGCCCCCAGTATCAGCTCCCCCAACAAATCTCAGTATGTGTCACTATTTGTCTGTCATCAAGTCTTGATCTGCCGTGAAACCCTAAACCTGAACCGCGTGCTGCTTTGCTTTCATTCGTTGTTATCCGCTGCTATTATCGTTAATCTGTCTTGCACTCAATTGCTCTGATCGGTCCTGATTCGCCCTTGTTTGCCCTTATTTGGCCTTATTTGTCCTTACCTGCGCTTATTCGTCCTTATTTGTCCTTATTCGCCATTCTTTGCCATTATTTGCCATTATTTGCGCTCATTTGCCCTTATCTGCCATTATTTGTCCTTGTTTGCTTTATCTGCCCATTATTTGCCTGTTATTTGCCCTTGTTTGCCATCATGTGCCCTCACCTGCCCTTATCTGCACCATTTGCCCCTTATTTGCTTTTGTTTGCACTTGCAGCAGCACTTATTTGCTCTTATAGGCCCTTATCTCCCCTTATTTTTGCTTTTCTGCCCTTATGTGCCTTTGCATTTATTTGCTCTTATTTGCCCTAATCTGCCCATTATTAGCCCTTATCTGCCCTTGTGTATCCTTATTAGCCGTGAATTTCCGTTGCTACTACCTGCTGTGGTTTTTGCGCTGATGAATCCGTTTTTTTTGTTTTTTGGCTGTTTGTTTTTTTGTTGTCGGGGGCCCCTTAAAGCAGGCAGGCCGGTAAGTGAGTGAACTCCCGCCCCCCGCCCAAACAGCAAAACAAAGAACACGCCTCCGCCCAAACAGCAAAAACAAACATCACCCCCTCTCCCTCCCCCTCCATCAAACAGCAAAAAACACAGCCACCACCCCTCTCCCCCCCGGACCAAACAGCAAAAAACACATGCACCCGCCCAAATAGCAAAGCAAAAAACCCAACCGCCCCAAACTGAAAAAACATATGCACCCGCCAAAACGGCAAAAAAAACAACAACCGAAAAGCGCAAATAACAAAAAAGAACAAAACAATACTCTTACCGACTGATGACTTGCAGGAAAGGGAAGCCAAGGAGTATGGAGCAACGTAGACCCGGGTAGGCCCCTGGGATATTTAGTATTTTCCCTTATGGCTTTAATTAATACGGGACCCTTTCTACGAATAATTTTCAAAGGATAGGGGCCCACCCAAAGACGGTGACTATAGGGTCCCTCAAAAGGCAGCGGAATTTGACAGCCCTAAGCCTTAAACCTTAAACCCTAATGCCTAAACCCTAAGCCTTCAACCATTCAGGTCCAACGTGAAGTACACCGTCGTGTTCCTCTATCCTGGAGCGCTCTTTTGGGTCCGATGGCGTGCGGAGACGCAGTACAAGTCCGCCTCCTGGGACCTGCGCGTTTCCCACACAGTTGAAGGTGTAGGGTTTAGGGTTTAGGGTTTTGGGGTCCCTTTGCGGAAGTCCGTACATGAGGACTACATTCATACACTAGGGCTCTATATTGGGACCCTGCAGGTATAACGGTATAATCGTATTAGGTTCAACCACAACAAAGGCTTCTCAACTGTATCAGGAGCAAGGGATGGGCCTGCCATTCATCCAGGTCCTCGGGCTGGAAGCCCCATGCGTTGTCTTGCATTGGGTGCTTGCTTTGCTGCGGCTAGCGCAAGATAGGCGGCCAAATAAATACATCATTCTTTTCAGGTCCATTTCCAAGGGTCTGAATACGGACCCCTAATTATAAACGCCATTGCGCGCCCGCCTCGGCTGGCGGGCGCGGAGCACATGAATAGGTCATGGCGTGTAGTTGACACGTGGGGTTTAGGGTCGCGGGAGTAACGGAGGCAAGCCTCACTTCAGACGTGTTTGTTACATGCCTGCTCCAGCATTCATGGAGGGGGTTGGCTGGGCTTAGGCTTAGTCCATCCACCTTAAGTGAGGGAGTTCACAAGCTTCGAGAGCCGCGCATTCGTGGGTCGGAAACTGTAAGTCCCAAGTGCAGTTCGCCACTACTCCCCGATCCTGATTTTTTCCTGACCATGGAAGAAGGCGGGCGACGTACACACAGACCCAGAAATCAGATCCGCCACATAGCAGTGAGTGGAGGTTGGGCAGAGGGGGGGAGTGGGCGGGGAAGGGGGGGGAGGCGGGTCGAGGCTGGATGGCAAAAAGGGGCCTTAGGCTTTTTAGGGGGGTTCTTGAGACCCTGGGTACAGATGGGGTATGTAGGGCTAAGGGCACATACTAGGAACCCCCATGGTGTCCCCTTACTGCAACTATACAGGCAATCTAGAACCAGTGACTTCCCTAAACCCAAAACTCCTACACTCCCGGAAACTAAGATGGAAACCCCAAAAGGGTCCTATAAAGACTACAGTCCTTCTAAAATCGGGCTATATGGGTTTCCATGTTAGTTTGGGCGAGTGTAAAGGTATTCACAGCATCTTGGCAGGTACAACGTCTTCATTGCGGACAAGCAGGTTGGAGCGCAAGAGTGAAGTGTGGGATGGAGCACGGCAGTGGTAATTTAGGGTTTAGGGTTAAGGGCTCAGGGCTTATAGGGTTTAGGGTAGTGGTAACCCCCTCCCCCGAAGAGCGAGCTGGCGTCTGCTCATTGCAACGGTAAAGAGATGGCAGTGTCTATATGAGCTATAGTTTAGGGCTTAGGGTTTAGGGATGGGGGGTTCTACTACCCCAATAATAGAGAATCAAATGGAAAAGAGGATGGAAAATGACATGGGAACTGGTATATATTGGGTTATATAAGGACTATATATGAGCCATAGTCTAATCTCCTTGAAAGGGGTTATATAGGGGACTGTATAGGGCAGTATTTTTGGGGTTATTAGGGGGGTGCTAGGAGTTTAGCCTATACCTCTTTTAGGGGTTATTCAGGGTTGGGGGTTTTTACCCCCAACAATCGAGAATCAAATGGCAAAAACATGGACATGAAATGTAAGGCTAGAGTTATGTACTGTGACATGGGCATATGCTTCTATAGCCCTTATGTACTCTCTATACACCCCCTGCCCACAAGTGTACTACTCCAGAGGCAGGCATATTTACCAAGATTGTGGTCATGTCTTATCTATACAGTCATGGTAGAGGATACTTGAGATCGACCTCAACATGATACTGGCAATTACTCAGTCTCCGACATTCCCTTATGTAACCCCCACATGAATACCAGTTTCCATTTCATTTTCCGCGTTCTGTTCCATTTGATTCTCCGTTATTGCTACCCTAACCCCAGATTGGATATACCCCTCGATATTCCTTACATCCCCTCTTTAATGGGACCCGGTAATTTGGATAATCATTTAGGCATAAAATCTAGACCCTTGACCCTAAACCCATAACCCCTAAACCCCACACTACGCTAAGGTTGAGCCCGACACCACTCAAAATCTCATCTCGTCCTGGAAGAACGGCTCTGTCTGGAAGCTCAGGGTTTCGGATGTAGGGTTGGATTGAGGTCTAGGATTTAAGACTGAGGGTTTCGGGCGTAGCATTTGGGGTCTCAAATTTAGGGTTCAGGATTTGGGGTTTAGGACTGAGGGTTGGAGGTTTAGGGCTCAGGATTGTTATGGGGATCCAAGGGCCAGGGATCATGGGGGATTCTACGGAGATATAGGGCCTACTATAGGGTTTAAGGTTTAGGGGAAATTTGAAATATATATATATATATTTATATATATAGGGCGTAGGTTAGCAAGGCATTTTTGGTAACCTGACAAATAAGAACCCTATGACTATCACGTCGCACTTAGGGGATGTTTATCACAGGGCTGGGGGTACCAATAATATCCATTTATTCCCTACGCCCTGAACCCCATAGCCTATATCCCCTAAAGCTTGCACCCTAAACCCTAAACGCTTTTGCTTCCATGTGATTCTCCATTCTAAGTGTTAGCTTTGCTCAACCCACTCTAGCTTTTAGGGTTTAGAGTTTAGGGTTTAGGCCAATGCAACCCCTGTATCACCCTCGAATCATTTTTCTAGTTCAAGGTTTAGGGTTTCTATGGTCGACATTTCCCAATGATGCAAAAGGGAGAGTAGGGGAGGGTTTTACGGTTTAGGGCGTGGGGTTTGGAAGTTAGGTTGGTTTAGGGTTTAGGGCTTAGGGTTTGTGATTTAGCGTTTAGGATGTGCCAAGGGTTTCAGGCTCGTACCCCTCGGGCTGTACCCCTGGATTTTGGGATCCTTTTAAAGGGCCCTGGGGGACTAGCTCATATTCTACAAGGGCCATATTAGAGCCACGTTGAGCAAACCCTTTACCCTTGACCCCAGCCCTAAAACCTAGACCCTAAACCTTCATCCCTTATCAGTACGTCATGTCAGGTCTTCTACTTCCCAGCGATGGCAACAGTGCAGGAGAAATTTGTCACCTCTGCAATCAGGGTTTAGGGTTTAGGCTCTAGGGTTTCCATACAAAGGGAGAGGTCCCAATAGAGACCCCAGTATATACATATATGGTCCTGCGCTCTGC